TTTGGAGCATGATATATCAAGCAACTAACTTCATGCCACAGAGATCTAGTTATTTCATGGGCAAGTGAGCTCTAAGTGAGTATAGGATGAACACACTGACTTCAGTCCAGCAGGCGTTTGTAACTGCTAGTCCAAGAATTGATTGTGGCAGATTTTAAAGGAGCCACAGTTGCAAAGCTGTATGTAAAGATCCATAAAATACCCTAGACTTAGTTCATTCTTAAAACTTCTTTCCAAGATTTTGGAAACATACCATGTATTAAATAACTAATTTGTTACTACAGGAATAATTGCATGTTTAGTTTTCTCTCTGCATGCTATCAGATGGTTGCTCTCTTTGCATTCCTTTCTCATCTAAGTTCATTATTCCTTAACAGTTTAAATTTAGAAACTATCCCTAAATATAAAAGACTGTAGAGCTTCCATTTAGTGGGCATGTCTTTAAGAGAAAGAGCAATGATTTAGTGGGGGGTGATAATATGATATAGTACACAAATTGGCAAATGTACTTAGGTCATACAAGCCCAATGGCTGCAAGTTTAAATACTTGATTAGATTCCAGGAAAGTCTTAACATAGAGAAGGGACATAACAAGAAGTTACACTGTAAACCTGACACTGTAACCCAAACGTACTCCCAATGACAGAGAAAACATCTCTTAAGGGATAGGTATTTCCAGAAGGATCATTATTTCTATTCAGAATGCAAGATGTGTACCCCCTGCAATTCTTTTTTATTTTGAAAGTTCTTTGGATAGTAAATCAGAAATTGCAAAAGTTCTTCTGCCACTTTTCACTCCAGCTACATAGTGGAATCAGAGAAAAGAAAGAAGCATATATATTTGTACAACTGTGTCAGCAGCAATAAGCAAACAAATTCCTGATACCTGCCACTGTTAGACTTGCATCACCACTCCATGACTGCTGTTTCATCATGTGAATAGTTCTAAGACCACACAAAAATGTCAACAAAAATCTGATTCCATTTTTGTTGGAAATTTAAACGAGACAAAATTTTCATCAATTTTGCTTTGCTTCTATAACTTCCTGATGTTTTCATTTCGCTAAATTATCAAGAGATTTCACCCCCCACCAAAGATCTTCAGTTTGAAGGAAGACTCAAGACATTCCCAGATGAAAAAGAGCAAACTAGCTTTTCTTATGAGGTTTGTGGCCCTCTGATAAGCTTTTACTATCAGCATTTCTATCTACACTTGTATGTAAGCAGCAGCATGCAAGTACTGTTTGGGATATATGTTTTTTACCCTCTCTACAACTTGCATCCAAATCTGCAATCTAAACCAACCATGTTTACTCATTCATTCCTAGATACTTTCTCTTAGACCCTAAACCAACTCACAGGATAAAAATATAATGGTCTTCAAATAACCTATATTTTAAACTTCTGCCTAAACAACTCACTCACTTAATAACTCATTTTTCTAATCTCTTCCCAGAGGACAAGCAGACATTGTGTCTTTGTAATTACAGCTGAAATCTGTCTAAAATAGAACTATCCAGATAGTCACCTATACAGGCAAAAACTGAGAGGGCAGTTAAGAAAGAAAAATTTCATCAAAACCTCCCACAGGCAAGAGGGGAAAG